ATTATTTGTTCGTTGTAGGCAGGTAGCATCTCCAGAGAGTTTCCAGATTTAGCAAGCCTTCAAGGCACAGCTCAAGCGACCCACACTCAAGAGAAAGTGTTTAAATAGCGACCCACAGTAACTCGCTTGAAATTTTCAATAGGGGCTTTCCGTATCAAAGGAGGGATAAACTCTATCCACCCCGTCCCGCACCACCCGGCAGCAGAATGCTCCCAGCCCTAAGTTTAGCGGCAGCAAGGGGACTCTTGAGGCCACACGGTACCTACGAGGGCAAACCCGCACAGCCGGGGGCGGGCTCCCCGCGCTCTCGTCCCTGTGCCCGCCCGGGGGATCCCGCATTCCCGCGGGACACAGCCCGTGCAGCGGTTAGGCCCGGGGCCCTCGTACCAGCTCCACCACGAGTGGCCAGGGAGCACCACGGGGAAAGCAGGCGCCACCGCCAGGCCGCGACGCCGAGGGAGCGCCCCAGCCGGGAACACCGGCTGGAAGCGGGAGCGAGAAGGGACGAAGCCCGGGATGCCTCAGCCCCCTCAACACTCCGCAGGGACGCAAGCCGCCGCCGGCGCCAGCTAGCACTCCCCGTTGAGCGGGAAGCTCTCCTTCCCCAACCTTAATCTTATTGAGCACCCCGCTGCTCTCCAGCGTCTGGACCAGCAGGTCCCGCAGCTCCGTGTCCTCCTCCGCCGCCGCGGCCGCCATCTTGCTTCTCCCTGACAACCGCCCAAACCGCGCTAGCGGCGGAACGAGCCCGGCAGATTCGCCTTCGCCGCCGCCGGCGGCACTAGCCCAGAGCGGACCCGAGAGAGTGGGGCGGACCAGGCCAGCGGCCCCCCTCAACACCAGCCCGAGAGGAGACGCAGAGAGGCCGCGGCCATCCAGCGCCTCCGCCGCCCACAGAGCCTGGAAAGTGCGGCGGCGAACGCGCAGCGCGGCCGCGGGCGGCGGGCGGGAAGTTCAAAGGGGGGCGGCGGTAACGGCTGAACTGGGCGGCCGCCCAGCTCCGTCAGCGGCCCCTCAGACCCTGCTTCCTTCCAGACAGGCTCGAACCCAAGGAGCCATACGAGGAGCGACTGAGCCTGCTCAGCCCGGAGGAGGGTGAAAGGAGACCTCGTCGCAGTCTACAACTCCCTCACGAGGGGAAGAGGAGGGGCAGACACTGATCTCCCCTCTCTGGTGACCACTGACAGGACCTGAGGGAACGGCCCGAAATTGTGTCAGGCGAAGTTTAGGTTGGATATTAGAAAAAGGTTCTTCACTGGAACAGGCTCCCTAGGGAAGTGGTCAGAGCACCAAGCCTTTCAGAGTTCAAGACGCGTTTGGGTGATACTCTCAGGCACATGGTGTGACTCTTGGGGTGTCCTGTGCAGGGGCGGCAGTCGGACACAATCCTTGTGGGTCTCTTCCAAGTCTGAATATTCTGTGATTCTGAACGCCAAACCAAGCCACCTTCGCCCACACCCAGTGGCTACAGGTGCTCTGTATTTGGGTTTAAGGGGCGAACGGCTCCCGCTCCGGGGCAGAGTGCAGTCCCTGGGCTCTGTAGAGGGCAAGTACCCCGGGCGGATCTCAGCTGCTGAGCCTGCCCGCTCCGCCAGACACAAGGGCACCCGGTGCCGAATAGCATCAAAAGGGGCTTCTGGAGCCCTTGTTTTAAAACAAGCATGTTCGTTTTTGCTGCTTCAAATAAAAAGTATAAAGCTCTGTGAATTGTAATGCTTAATCTGCAGCTCTACGTGTTGCATTTTGTCACGCGGAACTGCCCGTGATTTTTCTTGAAGTCCAACATATGATAAATAATTTCATAAGTTAGGAATGCTCCAAGGGAGCAGGTACAGCTCCTGGGTGGGGAAGGGCGCTGCTGGAGGCTGCTTTTAGAACGTGTGCACCGACTCTTCGGGGATGCCCTAAATACTCAGCCTAGCCTGGGCAGGCAGGTGTTCATTACTCTGCCCAGCTTCTGCTGAACCCACGGGAGGTACTGCTGGAGCTTTAAGTTCGTTCCCGTAGCTACCCAAAGAATATAGCACTGCAATTTTGAAGTAATGAAGTTTGGAAACATTAGCAGTCTTTGACTTCAGTACAAAATTGTGTTAAAGTATTACAAAATTGCCCTTCTTAACAATCCTTTCAATATAATTTTTCAAAACCGTGTCAGAAACAAATAATAAATGCATAAACATAATGTATGGCATTACAGTTATATTTTTTATTTGTCCACTAGATCTCCAAATTTAATGGAAAGACAAAACACACTTGACAAAATAATTGATATAGGTAAAGGAAAGCTAGAGCAAAGGAAAAAAAGGTCAGTAGACTTAGATTATAATTTGTAAAATTCATTTCAGCATTTCAGTTACAGTGGCTTCAGGTTCTCAAATACATGTAGAATAATGGCCCATCTTCGCGAACGAAGATTTGGGGAAAGGTCTTTTTACCTTTCCAGCCTGCGCAATGGATTTTTTAGGTGAGACACAGCCTGCGCTGAACTGAGCCCACCCTTTAATCCTAAGGTTCATCTGCCGGGGCCAAGCAAGCTTGGACAATGGCAGTGAGGTCCTCAGGACGTAGGTTTGTTTAGAGTGTCCTTCTCATAGATGGATGGCCGCACAGGGCTAACGACCTCCATCAGGCCAGGAGACCGGGGACTCGAACCCGTGGTCGCAGCAGTGAAAGTCCTGCACGCTATCTTGAATCCAGTTAACAGATAACCCCTTTCGAGCTCTGCAAAATACCAGACTAATCCTTAGGTTAATATTAATCACCTTAAGGGCAGCAAACCACAGTTCAGCTTCTTATTGTGATGTAGCCTCAAGCTGTCTCACGTTTGAAGGAAGTGTTGCCATTTTGAATGTATGTAATTCCCAAGTCAACCCCTATGGAAATCATAGAAACATATTGCTACAGGGGCTCTTAACACAATTTAAATGAAATTTAAACTTTCAAAATCATGCATGGACTAAATCTATTGACTTAAAATTAGGACATGAGAATATACATATATTTCAAAATATGTGTATCTGGTCAGAGTATCGTAAATGTTTTCTTAACAAATTTTAGGAAAAAAGTCTAACTGGATTTGTTTGTTCTATTTGTGCAATGGAAATAATCAAAGCAAAACAACACATTGTGTCAGGGAGACAAAATTTGAAAGTCTCTGTCTGGATTCTTAAACCCTAATCTAAATGTTGTTAACTGCTGAAAGGTGGAAAAATGTATTCTTCTGAAGGGTTTAATATAAAATCTTTAAGAAAGATGAATCATGCCAACCTCATTTTGGGTTGTTTGGGTTTTTTTCAAGGCCACACATTTCAGCATATAAACATCCAGAAATCTAGGATACTACTACATTTGTTGCGAATTTTTTTGAGGAAAATATTATTTTCATGAAATTTAAAAGAAACTTTTCAAATATTCTGACATTTCCTCATTTTTTCCACCACTTTCTAGTCACAGCATTATGATTGTTAATAGCCATCAGGAGATAAGCCAATAAAGAAATAAAAGATCATAGTACACAAATGAACATTAAATGGAAAGTCTTGAGGAGACAGTTGTCCAAAACAGCTCTCCATCATCTTTCTCATACCTCTCAAAAACATTCTCTTTAATACCACATGCACTATTTCATGATATTGTGACATAAAAACATGGTTTCCTTGTCCTAATACCTTAAGAGCATACAGTATTTTAGCATAGCTTTGGATCTCTCTTTGAAACCACATTAATGGGAAACTTGTCTTTGGGCTTAGTTTTCACCAAGTGCAGTGTTAATTTGGCAACCTCAGAGAGCAAATCCCTATTGCACCTTGAAACACAATTAACACTGGAGTCCAAGACTTTGCAAGCTAGAATGCTCGTGCAGTACAGCCCACTCTTTTCACCCCCAGTCTGTAAAGATAAAATCAGGCTGAGTGTCCTTATCTACTGACTCTTCATGGGCAGTGACAAAGACTTCAGATGGAGCCGCAATGTCCTCAGCAGCAGGAAGAGCAGTGCTGCATACAAAGAAGGATCTGGAAAGCTTCACTATTTTTAACTCTTCAACAAAATTTCTGAAACTTTTGATACCTCTTAGACGCTGTCAGAGACAACAGCAAATGGATCACTCATTCCATCCAGCACAACATTTTCATGTTTACACAGAAAGGTGGGCAAAGAGATTATTTTTGCCTCATCCTTCTTCTTACGGTGTAAATGTGTAAACATAATTAAAAAATTTTTACCAGTGAATCAACCTGAGACTTTGAACAAAGACCTTATTAAAAGACTGTAATTAATCTGTTTAAAACAAATGTTGTTTTGCTTGTGGAAGCAGATCTGCCCACATATTTCTCAAGTGCATTAATAGAGGATGGCTGCGACATATCCCCCCTAGTTCAAAACTATACAAGTTGATTAACAATCACGCTTTTTATTTATGATTCACACATTGGCAGAGAAAGAGAGGCCAGAATATGTTTCATAGTTTACCACAGTGCTGAGAAAACAGTAAACCAAGTCCTGCCTGGAACATTTGTGACTCATCCCTTGGGGCTCCTTCCTCAGAAACTTGCTACTGTTTTCAAACACGAGTGTTAGCTTTTCAAACTTCCCTCACTATTTTGGAGAAGCGCGCCACAGACGCCCGTGTCAGCATTCCTCTGTTCCCCTTGCTGGGCTTGCGTTAGTCAGTAGAGTCCTCGTTGCACTCTTGGAGACCTCTGTGCCGCACAAATTCTCGGTAGGGAACCAATTACAATTAAAGCGTAGAATATGCTAAAGAAGAACCAACCAAACCAGCAAAACCACGCACATCAATTCTGTCTTCCGCAGCCCCCTGGCGCTCCTGCCTGGCCCGCGCTCACATGGGGGGCGCCCGGCTGGACACGAGGATGCCGCGGAAAAGCCGCCGGCGCCGCCACCGCCCCCCCGAGCGCCCAGGCTGGAAGTCTGGAGCAGCTGACAATCCCCGCTTAGGCCGCAGGGAGCCGCCGCTGTGGCGGAGGGCGGTGCCGCTCCCTCCGCCCTCCCGCCCGCCTCGGAGGCGGGGCTGTGCGCGGCCCGGAGAGAGGCCCGGGCGGCTCAGGCGGGTAGGGCAGGAGCAGCGGGCAGGTAACGTGGGCAGGGCCGTGGAGCGGGGGCTGAGGTGTGGTGACGTCTGAACGCGAGGCAGCGAAGGTCGGATTTGACAGTCTCCCTGCTGCTCCCTCTTCCCGTTCCCTGCCCGCCGTGGGGCTGCGTGGCCGTGGCAGCAGCCGGGCAGGAGCACGTTGTGTTCGGCCTGCCCGAGGTGTGTCTGTGGAAGCCAGTGAGATCCTTACTTGCGCGAAGTTAGGTGGGACTTGCAGGCCTGGAACGGGCTCAAATCGTGTTAGGTTTAGTTTTTTATGCCTTAAATTCTCTCTGTAGGAAATCGAAAGTCAGCTAAAGGCATGGTAGCATTTCTCAGAGCTGGGAAGACTGTTAATAGTTCTTTTTACACTTGGCATCAGCTTTGGCATGCACCTGTCGTTTGCAGGCATCCCGCTTCCGATGCTCGGGTGATTTGCATTTCTTACAATTTGGGAAAACGCCTCTGTAATGATCTACAGCAAGCGTTTATGGTGTCGGGAAGTCACATCTCGTATCAGTGCCCAGAGCAGAGCAGTGTGTTTGTGTGCGAGGGAGGCGAGGTGGCGCCGCCCTCGGGACTTCCCCAGGAAGCCAGCCACTGAAACCACTGCGGCTCGAGTTTTGCCTTGAATTGTACTTTGCAAGAGAAGTAGCGAGGAAGTAATTTTAAAAAGCTTGCTGTGTAGTGGACGTGAGTATTGCTTCTTTAAAGTGCTTTTTGTAGTTACTGAGGCTATCACTCGTGCTTGGGATGAATGGTTAGCTCGGAGTCGACTGTGTAAGAAAACTTGCCGGAGCTAAGAGCATTGTTATAAATTAAATTAATGCTTCTGGTATACAGTGTTGTTACTCGGCTTGTCTAACTCGTTGTGGCAGAGGCAGTGCGCGCTGCCTTGTTTGGGATGCGACCAAAACCTTGGGTGTTCATTTTTGGGCCTTTAGATTCCAGGCTAGCTGTCCTAGGTCTTACCTGTGGACATTGTTTTCAACATTTAGCAGCGTCTGTGCTATGTGATAGCCATGGGAGTCCTCTGCTAATGCTTGAGTGCTCTTCTGCAGCCTCTTCTCTATTCTGGTTCTATGTGCTGAACTAAAGTGTAGAGCTGGAAATTTTGTATAAATCTGGGGTTTATTAGTCAAAATAGTTGTTAAAAGCAAAAAAAAGAAAATACGGGAGTAGAATATAGGTGACTAATCCCTAGTGTCCCAAAGAAGCATGTGCTATGTCAGTAGTCCCCTCAAGATGGTATATTAGAATTCAAACTGTGGTGAATGTGTTAAAGAAAGATTTCCTAACTATTTATTACAAGTTCACTCTAGTCTTTGATAAGTCTGGGCAGATAATTTTGATAACAGCACGGAACAATGCTAACATAGCTGAAAGTGACCTTATCCTGACTGAGTTGCTAACACGCACACAGACATTTTGTGCATTCTTATTCCAGGTATAGTAAACCAAGTGTCATCCCAAAACTATTCTTACTCTTTGGAATTTTATCCATAATGAACATGATTTGGTAGCCTAGTTTCAAATAATAATTTTTTTGTATGTGTACAGGTTTCATTTTGAAGTTTTAAGTTTTCTTCATTATGAAGTCTTTTGGAACATCATGACTTTTTTTTTAACTTTGATAATATGAAATCCCAGTTTCTTATTAGAGAGGAACTGGTGTAAGATTTGTTAAATCAATTCTTTCTTGTATTTGTGCAATTAGTAACCTAGTGCAATTTTTAGCAAACAGAAGCAATTTTTATTAAAAACGGATGTGCTTCATACAGCTTAGCTGTTAAGATGGTTTTAATTTGTATGTGTATTTCCTCAAATGTGCATCATTTGGGTGCTTTTCAGGTGAGATTGATGCCCTTTTCACCTTTCACCATGTCACAGTCCAGTAAAAGGTCAGCTTGAGTAAATCATTCAGTTTGTCATGATAGTTGTGGTAGCTGCAGTATTGTCTTCCGAGCTAAAACGTTAGAGTTTATTGCTTATCAGTGTAGAAAAAAGTAAAAGTTACAGATTAGGGTTTTCAACTTTGCTCACTGTCTCTGTAGCCCCTATGTTCTGGCTGCAGGGTGCAGAGCAATATGCAGAATAAATCTGATAGCAGCATTTTTTGAAGCCCCCTTTGTTCCAGGTCGTTTTTTGATCGAGTGTAAGAGTCCTATGAGAAAGAAGGGTAGTTGGCTTGATACTTTTTTAACTTAGTCACTGGAAAAAAAGTTTCTGCCTGCCTGCCTGCCAAGTTAACTCATTCCAGTTGGCAAAAGAAATGGCATGATGCTTGCTGGTTTATTTTTCTTTCATAATTATTTCCCTAAGGTGTTTCCACACCTGTGTACAATGCAGCCTTTTTTTGATGATGCGTGGCATTACTGTCTTTTAAGTGGTATTTTCTGCTTTTTATAGGTAGGGCAGAATCTTACATGAATCTCACAGAATCTTACACTCCTTACATCTCTCAATCTTTTATCTTGGGTACATAATTTATCATGCAGAAAAGTAGTCTTGCTTGGTTGGTTTTCGGTTGAAAATAACAGTAGATGAAATCATTTAACAGGTCTATAAGGGAGAATCTCACGTCATTAATTCCTGCAGTTCAAGTGATGCGAGTGGAGATCACTTAAAATGCAGAACTTTTGGGGAAATTGGATACACAGCAGTTAATTACTTATTTGTGACCTATTTTATACACTGTGTGAGTATATAAATTTCTTTAATACAACATATATGTCTTCCTTCGGTGAGCTTTTGATAAAGATCAGCTCTACATTATTGATTGCTTTGCTCTACAAGTAGCACACTCCAAATGATCAGAAAATTAACAGTTGGCAACTAATATTTATCTTCTAATATCTTCTATTAGGCTAAGTACCTAGATAATGTATTCATTACAGTAGAGAGGCATTAATATATGAAATAGAACAATGTCTTAAAAAGTGTTAGTTTCTTCACAATTTAGCAAAACCTTCTGATAAATTTAGCTGGTTAGTCGTTATTCCTTGTTGCCCAAACCCCTCACGGAGTTTTGAAATCTCCACACATTTTGCAAGCTGGGAGGCTGCCTCTGATTTCAGCTCAGCCATGGCTTTTGAGGAACTGCAGGGTAGGGCTTGTGAGGGGCCTGCAAGCTGGGTCCAGAGCCATGCAACAACGGTGAGAAAATGGACTCTTGTTTATAATGAGCTGTGGGTCAGAATTACACTGAGTTTACTTAAGTTAGCTTTAATGGCTGAATCAGCAATGTCTTTACTGGTGTCAAAACAGGCTTTATTTGACTATTATATGGATGAATTAAAAAAACCTTCATAGAAAAAAGAATATGACTTGTGTAGTGAGTGATCTTAGAAGGGTCACCTAGATTACATGCAGTGTCTTGTAGTGCTTTTTTTTTTTAAGGTTCTTGTTTTGAGAGGGTTGGAAAGTAGGTCTGGTGAGGCTTTAATAACTGCATGTAAATACACACGTGCATATCTGTTTCTAGGAGGTAGCATTGGAAATGCTGTGAAATATCTGGCGGATACAGAAGACAGTTGGGGTTTTTTGACCCAAGTGAAAGTCCTTCTACTGGTGAAGGTTAAGCTGATTTTTTTTATCCCCTGATTTTTAAGGTTCATTAGTAGGCAAATTGTGCATGGTTTCGTAGAGGCTATGTCAGATTTATAACAAGAACAGAAACTAATCTGGTTTTAGCAGCAATTTTTTTTAATACCAGTTTAGTAGTCGGCTGGCATTTGGAGAGAATTTGGACATCATCTTTGGCTTCCTGTATGTTTCTAAGATCAGCCTTTTTCAATCCAACATGAATATTCAATATTAAGTTCAAAATTTCTTTAATAAATCACTTCAGACATTTAAGCTGACCACAAGTAGAGTCTTAAATTAAAATGCAGTTGTGCAAAAGATTTATGTATTTTTATTTATTGGAAGGTGGCTCTATTGGCATTGTGTACAAGTAAAGGAAAAAAAAAAAGAAATGGTGATCTCAACCTTGATGCCGTTAGTTTATGAAAATTAGCATACAAGCTGGGGAATCAGGCACAGCCTTCAAAGAGATACCCTCAGGCACATGGTGTGACTCTTGGGGGTGATCCTGTGCAGGGCTAGGAGTTGGACTCGATGATCCTTGTGGGTTCCTTCCAGCTTGGCATATTCTGTGATTCTGTGTGAATCTGTGAGATCCTCATTTTACCCATGGTTGTAAATCTAGTCTAGAGTTATCTTGTTGCCTGGTGTTTTTGCAATAGTAGTGTTTTTCTGCATTTTGACTTGTAAGTGCATTGGATAAGTAAGAGATTTCTTCTTTTAACACCTTTTTACAGCTATCTGATTAACAAAATGAAACCTGCAAAGCTGCACTGTTGGATTCTGGGTTGGTTTTCTGTGGCACTATGTTGTTGGTGTACTTCAGATAAATTCACTCAAAGGTAAGTTATGCTTTAAGAAGAAGTGTCTGACAGCTCATTCTTAAGTGCAGATCAGAATGGTTTAACTTCTAATGAGGTAAACGTTCTTATTATGTGCTATTTTTGATGTGTTATTGTTCCGCTAAGTGACTGTTAAAATGAGGCATCTGCATTAACTGGAGGAACAGGGATCATGCCCAAGAAAACCTTTACATATTATTAATGTACCAGCATGAAAAAAGAGGGAAACTTAAATTACATTTGTTGCACTTAAAACTTGTGCAATCTTGTTTTAAACAAGTCACTTAGACTTGTGGTGTAGTAATGGCAAAATTCAGAAATAATTTTGAAACCTATAACAAAAAAACTGTAATCATCCCTATGGCATGAACTGTTGCATTATATATCTTTTTTTCTTCCTTGCTCATTTCTCTGTTCCGGTAATTTAAAATTCCTTTTCATATGACATCCCAGCTGGGGCTGGATCAATGCTGCACAGCCTTTTGGTGGTTGCTGCACTTGGCAAAATCTGAGTTTGAATACCAGTGGGCCACGCCCCAAATCACACCCTTCTATGGTAAAAGCTCAAATTCCTATTGCATTGTATGAGGAAATAAACTTTTCGCCTTCTTTTCAAGGCTTTGGCAAAAGAATGGTTAAGAATCTAGGGGTCAGTGCTGAACTTCATATAATAGCTAAAATGCAGCTGATTGGTAGCTTAGACACTGTGCTGCTGTTTCCTGAATCCCCAGGGCTTAGGCTGTGGCTTGGCATCTTGGTGACAGGAGCAGTTCTAGAAGCACGTTCCTGAGCTGCACAGAACAGGATAACTCGGGTCAAAAGAAAGGGAAATACCTCTGAAGCTGGATAGGTATTGAAAATGGCTTTCCTTGGATTCCAGTTCTGAGCTCAAGTTTCTAAAACTTGCTTTGTTTAGTAAGAACAGTTTTCTCACCTATCCTTAGCCAAAATGTGTGTTCTAGGAGAACTTCTTTTGGCATGAATAACATTGCAGAAGTTCAGCTGCTATTTCAAGGACAGATGAAAGATCTTTCCTAAGCAAGGATTTTTTTTGAGCAAGGAAACAAACTGCTCTGCAATACAGAGGAATTCCTCTATTCAAGTTTGCACAGCAACAGTAAAGACCCAGACAGAAGTGTTAATAGTTTTCATTATGGCTCTGCCTGGTCAGAGCTATTCTCCTAAATTAAAAAATATAAATACATGTGAGTACTTAAGAGAAAATGCGTCCATTGCAAAGTAGAAAAACCAGAGGAAAAAAATTGAGAAGTGATGGAACACGGGATGCTCCCTACTTTCTCAGGTTAAGAAGTAACGTTCTCTCTTTTTTTTTTTTTTTTTTGTAATACAACCTCTGGCAAGAACTGATGAGAGACATGTGACTATTAGCTTCCAGAGAATAACAATTTATTTTGACAGTTCTGCACATAATGCTGCCAGTTTGGACAATTTACAGTTCGGTTGATTTTTTCCCATTTGCTGTTCTGTTTAATCCTTTTGTGTAGTTGCTTAATAGCTAAATCTATTTGCTCTAGTGTCTGATACAACAGGCTTTTTATTTACTTCTAATTTAACCAGAATAAGTCTGCTCCAAACTGTTGGAAAACACCTCTGTAGAAGTGTCATGATATAGGCTTCCAACACTTTTTGAACAAATTTTTGAAGCTTTTTTTTTTTTTACCTCTGCATAGGAATAAGATAGTACTGGTGCCTCTGTGAGTTATAGATCTCTTATTCTAAGAGGTTTTGAAATAGATATGCTCTTGTAAAATACTCCTTTGGTTCTTCCTTAAGCAACCTAACCTTAAGACTTTGTCATAGTTTGATCATTTGTTAAATGTTGAAAAATTACTTAATTTTTAGTAAGCATTTAAAAAATGTACTGTTTGAATTAAGTATTTATAAACTGAGAAAGTCAACATTTTTGAGATTTATGGTTTGTACTTTACCTTTTATTCTGGTTTTTTTGTTTGTTTTTTTTAATCTAAAAGTTGGGAGACACTTGCAAGACCCAGTTGCATCTCCTGTAGTGTCAACTGCATTGTTTGTGGTTGGTTGTAAGCTTTCTTTTATAGAAGAGTAGTTACAGTTCCAAGAAGACTGTATACTTTTTTCCCCCAGATAATATGCTTATCAAGAAGAACTAGAAGATTCTTAACATCCTTAATAAAGACACCTTTTTTAAAAAGTATTAATTATTGTTGTAAAAGTGTGCCAGTAAGTGCTCTCCTAAGTATAAAACAGAACAATGTATTTCTTCTATATTTAGGAAATGGAAAGCATATGGACATAGAGTGCCAGAAGGAGAATTTGTTTAACAATGGGGGGGTATTAGCAGGTTTCTAGTTATGTTTCTCTGTGCTTTGTTAGTTTGAAGTTCTTTTTGAAATGCTTGAGGAAGAATAAATTTATCTTTCTCCAGTGACAACCACCCTCATACCTGGAAAAAGCTTTATCTTGCTCATCATTGGCCAGTGACTGTATGTAAGGTGAGATTTTTTTGTAGTTTATTCTCTTTTATCCTAACAAAGGTAGCCTTGGACAATAAATGTGTGAAAACAGAATGAATAAAGCCCATTAAGCACTTAATCTTGGTTTTGCCCTTATATCTTTGGAAAGGCTTTGGCTGATCTTGATGCAACTCTTGCTACTTTCCGTGCACTCCAGAGCAACTGTAAACAGGACAAGGTTGTGGCGCGTTACAGATGCAGTAGTGAGTGTAGGACATGCTGCACACTAAGCTTGTTAAATAATTTGTTAGTTGTAAAGTTAATCCCAGATTTTCACCAGACCGTAAGAAAACTTGCCTGCCTTGTTTGACTGAAGACAGCAGATCAGTCCATGAACTGTCTGCTGCACAATAAGTTTTTTACCTTTGTAGTGCAGACTCCAGTATGTCAATGATGTCATCAAATATTGATTTGGTCAGGAAAAAGAGAGCTATAAAGCTGTTGTGGCAGGTGTCTCTGAGTATTTCTGCATTTTTCTGTATTTGAGGGGTGGGAAGCAAAAATGAACTCAACCTTCCAGAATATGTCTGTCAAAAGCACTGCTAAGAGGTCTACTACTTGTGTCCCTTCTGCTATTAAATGCCTATTACTATCTGATAAGTAGAACACTTTTCCTGTGCTGGAAATACTCAGAGGCCTCTTCTCATACAACAAAGTTAAAAATATGCTATACTTCTAAATGAAAGACATGATCAGATTTACTGGTCACAGTAAATGACACAACGATAATGAACTTTGTGGATAATGGAGGTGCTTCAGTTTCAGATAAATGTCTCTGGAGCCAAAAATGTGTCTTCAGCTTATTATTATATTAGAGTCTTATTTTTTGTGGTACTTTTTGTACTTTTTTATTTCTCATTCCTATTTCTGGAAATACCTATAAAAGCAGTAGCAGCAAAAGTCACAAGGTGCCAAATATCTGAGGAAAAGTAGATGTACTTTACATTACTTAAATGTGGAGGGCAAGTATCAGCAACCAACTCAGATGTGCATGGCTGATTGAGGCCAAGGACCAAGACCAGTGTTCTTTTTATTTTTTGCTTACCTGTTTTTGAGGGGAAATAAGGACCGATTTGACGCAATATGTGTCTTATTTTCCATTGATTAAACATCATTTTTACTGACTTCAAGCAGAGATGTGTTCAAGAGTTTATAGTGCCTGGCATGAGTGGGTGTTCAGTCAGTAGCAGTGCAAACCCTTACTTACATGAATGAGATGCAAACAATTAAAAAAAAATCAAATTAAAACACAAACCAACCAACGAATCAAATGTCTACCAACCAGTTTTCCCACTGTATATTTATGCTGGCTACTCCTCTTAATTACTGGGTGGTGCTATTGGTAAATTGACAAATAACGTTTGTAACCTTCCAGTGAATTTATAATGAATAATTAAAGATATTGAGCATCAGAAAGTGTAGGCATTCTTCCACTTGGTTGATTCCTTATGATCTTATGTAGTAAGAGGTAAACAGAACCATTCAAAGAATGATAACTGTTTTGTTTCAGGGAGTAAATGTTTTTACTGTCATTCTTCATATTAAAACTGTTGACATGAAGTTGAAAGGAAAAATAACTGTGTGAAGCAAACTACAAAACTCATTTATGTAAAAAACTTTTGAGACACTCCTTTCTGAAAGTACTTACTAGTTTATGCTTCCTGTATAAAGGAATCTGATTATAGACTCTTTCCTACATACTGTGTACTTGAGAGGATAAACACATGAAAGGTTTTAGCTTATCAGCTTGTGCTAGAGATGTGTTCAACAAGAAGTAAATTTGTTTTATTTCCCTCCTCCTAAATTTTTTCAGCAACCTTAGGTTCATTCATTGATTTGTTTTACCCCTGGGGGTGGGGAGAAGGAGGAAGGGGAATAATTACACACTCTTTGGGGGAGAGAAATTGAAGAGGTGAGCTCTCTCCACAGTTTCAAAAGCAAGGATTTTTCATACCAGTTGTGATGTATCATTACAAAACAACACTAAACATTTATCTTAATTAAACAGATGGCTTAGTTAAGCAGGGTGGTTGGAAGGGAGAGCAGGATTAAATATTTCACTTCCCAGAAGCTTACTTTTTATTTAAACTTGGTGTATCCACACGTGATCCAGTAGCACTACTCTGTTGTCTGTACAAGGTTCTGTACCAAGGGACTTGTAACTCGGGCAGCTCAACAGGTAACACTCCTGTGACAGTTTGATGGGTTTTCACTTTTTGGCATTTCAGAGGTGAAAAAAGCTTCCACACTTCTGGCACGTGCTGTTTGTGCAATGTCTTGCTGTTACAAATAGGCTAAGCTCTCTGCTGCAGCAGTCCCTCTCAGCATGGTGGGTGCTGTAAAGTCTTACTGGCACTTTTCTCAGTTTTATAGATCATGTATAGTTAATTTGCATTGATTTGATTATCATACTACTTTAAACCAGGAGAAAACAATGTTCTTTTTTCAAATTAATCTAGATATATAAGGCTTTCTGGGGTCCAATATCTCCGTGAAAATACATATTTGTACCCTTGTTTCAAGTCAACAGTTGCCTGAGTTTGAATTAATCCTCCAGCAGTCAGTCCATGATAAATAGGAAGGCTGTCAAGAAGTGTTTTTGCGGAAGCAGGCAGTGGTAGCCAGCTTTTCAGACTAGCATTTGCTTGATTTATGATATTGATTTAAAATTAACATTGGAAAAATACTAAGGCTAGAATTAAAAAGGAGGATGAATGAAGCTGGCCAAAGCATGTGAGGCATGAACTAATGTGTTTTAGGTTGCATTGACCGCTCAGTTCTGCCAACACACGGGGTAACACCAAGAGCCTGGTGAAATGTGTTGAAGAAACTGCTAATGAGTGCCTGAATAGGGGAGCACTAATTCCAAAATTAAAATACTCTGAGTTTTCCATTAGCATGGAAGACCTGAGAATGGCAGTTAAAGATTGGATAAGGAGCACAATTGCACTGTTCTTGTAGCCACCCTCAGCTGAGCAGGCTGCTGGCTATTAATGTGCTGTATTTGGGGCTAGATAGCCAAACTCTTTCAGCTCCACAAAGCTTGTGTCATGACAGGAGCAATATTGTTTAGGAGTTTGCAGTATGTGTTTGTTCAAAATACTTCTTTCAGGAAAAAAAGCTATTGCTGGGTTTAATTGCTTCTGTTGTTGGTGGCAAGAGAGGAGAGGAAGGAAATGGACACAGAACAAGACAGTCTTGCAGAGCTTGCATATTTGCTGCCACTGGCCTCTGGCATGTGGAAGGCAATTAGTGAGATTACAGGCCTGTCTTTGCTCTTCACTGCACTCTGCTCTTTCTCTGGCATCTCATAAAAGGCATTGTGGGATAATTAAGACAGGATGCAGAGCCAAAAAGGAAAGCTATTATTATGGGGAAAGAAACTCTGAGGAGGTTGTTAGTTAATGGCAGAAAATGTTTACCAAAAAGAGCCATAATTACTAAGCAGAATAATCAGGGAAAATACAGTAATGGTATTTTATGATGTTTGAAGTTGAATTTTTTTGTTTTGTTTTGTTCAGGAATATGTCTCTTCTCTAAACAATTGTTAATGTGTAGGCGATTTCTTTGTTTATTATCAACAGTTTTGATTGGGGGCTTTTTGTTTGTTTCTTTTTGTAGGAATGAATATAGTCTTTCCTCTTCTCTCCATTCTCTTGTCTCTCAAGTCAAAATATTTAAAAAATAAATTCTAGCCATTTTACTTGGAATAAGCAACCTATTTAATCTCTTTGTTGTATTTTTTCCTCTTAATATAAAAATAAAACTAATCCTGAATGCTTAAAGAAGGTTTTGTGCTTGTCTAATATATTTTTTTTGTAGTTTTTATTTTAATGGCTCTGCACTTCTTGAAAAGATCTGGTGATAAGAAAAATACAGGGAGCTGCCACCTGGAATATGATAAATGCAGATAAAGCTCCATTAATTTAGCACGGATCAGGCTATTCTCTATTACCTCAGAACTGTCCTTTGTCTTCTTTTTATACCATGTGTTCAGGATATCTCCTGGTATTCACTTGATCTGCTTCAAAATTTTCATGCCAGTTGGTCTCTGCTAAGTGACATAATCTATGACAGCTTCAAGTAACTGAGGTGCACCAGTTTCTTATATGGAAAAGTTATATAGTAAGAGTTTTCATGTCTCATTAGAACCTTGAACCATCAGTGAACGAGGTTTTGTTTTTCCCTCTAAACCACTGGACACATACAACAAATATTCTGTATTTTGTTTCCTACAGATGACTGCTAATGATTGTCAAGACCCTCCAAAGTACTGGACAATCCATGGACTGTGGTATGATCATAGGGTGTTTTTATTTCAGCTGGGAAAAGAAAAATCAAATCTTATACCAGGATGTTTGGTGGCTTGGAGTTTTGGTTTGGTTTTGTTTGTTTGTTTTTGTCTTAATCTATCTGTTCTTATGATTCCTTGAAACAAAATCAAAACTCTGTGGTTTGACATAAAACTGAAATACACTTCTGTATCTCATGACTTGCTCAGCTTCTGAAATCCTCTTGCCACATGAGTATTTTGTTTATATGTCTCCTTATAAGATTGGTAGTATTCTCAAACAGAAAGGGAAATATAGTTTCCCCTTTTTTTTTTTTCTGAGTACACAGAATTTGTTAGTATCTCATGACTGCTTGTGGCTTTAATTGTCTTAACTCAGTACAAGTATTGCAAAAGTATAGGAAAAACCAATTTTTTTTAAAGGAATCAACTCACTGGAATTGGTGCCAATGGCAGCAGTTCAGAAGTTTTCCTGACAAATACACATAAAAAATCAGTACAGGAGTTTGTTAAGCTATACCTCCTGGAAAAGTGAACAGCATTATGACTAGATTCCCTGCGAGAGTCTTGGTGATACTGCAGAAGCATCAGTTGGTGCAGCAGTTGAGGAGGTCAATGCCGTTAGTGCCACCAGTGACATCATGTGCAAGGTCCCTCCATATCATTGACACACCAATTTGACTTTTACACAGAGAGGGATTGGAAGGCCAAAGAAAGAACTTCGTCATGAGAAATCTTTTGGTCGTAATTAACGTCTTGAATATTTTGTTTCTAAACCACTATAGATTCTGATGGGTTAGTTGCATTTTTAAGTAAATTCTCCAGCTGTAATCCTGCATATTTAAAATTCCTGCCAATGATACAAAATAGAATGCTATTAGTTATATTTAGTGAGTAAGGAGACATCTTTTTCCACTTTTTTATTTTTTGCTTCCCCAGGCCTGACAAGGGTGAAGACTGTAATAGGACATGGCATTTCAATGTTACTGAGATTAAGGTATGTATTTAAAACAAAAACAGATATACCAAGCAGAGCTGACTGCAATTACTTTTGCACATCCTACATGCAAAATCTGTAGCTTATAACATTTCACTCATAATGTTTGCTGAGAGGTATGGTTTTTTAAAGCCTCTAGAAATTCATTAGGTGCTTCTGGTACAATTTGAAGTTGTGATCATTAGCAGCTGTGCCTACTTGGATTTTGTGGACATGTAGTTTGACTCATTCAGCCATATCCTCTTATCCACATACATGGTGGATCTGCAGTGGCAAAAAGTACCTGTGAAAGAGATTACAGTCAGTTGATGTTCTCTCTTTACATTTTCTACTGCGGAGCCAGAACTCAGAAAATAAAAGAGTTAAGAGTTCAGTGTTCTGTGTGTTTTCTTCTAGGGCGTTGGTCCTTTTAGGTTCTTTTTCTGGTTAAAAAAATCCATATTTCACTCACGTGTTGTAAACAGGGATAAGAGATTTGAGCTGACAAATGTGAAAAGCTGCATGTTTGAACAACTTCTGCAGGGACAATTGAAGGAAAATCTCTGCTTTGAGGCAGTGCGTCAGTATAAGTGCATTCAGATATTTAGGTAGGTGTATCTATCTGTTGTTTCCCACAACAGCATTTTCAGAATACTGGGGAAAAGGACCTTTTTCTGCACTAAATGTTTCAGTTGGGGATGTCAAAAGATGAGGCTTCAGTTATACAAAATGTATTAATGTATATAGATTGTGTAAGACATAGCTGTTCAACACTATAGGTGCATTTATTAATTGTGATTTTTTTAGGATCTTATGTTAGACATGAGACACTATTGGCCCGATGTGCTTCATTCATCTCTGAATCGCACCCAGTTCTGGTGAGTATAAAAAAAACAAACCTAAAAAACATTTTTGATGTTATTTTATAAAAAATCCATCGGAGTAGTTTTTCAGGTGAGATGTGTGTGAGAAACAGTGTCCAGGAGGCAGTGTGTCTTGTCAGTCTCATTTAGGATATAAATCTTTTTTCTTGTAAAATGCAGCCGTTGAAGAGAGGGCTCTGGCAGAGGTTTTGGAGAAATGAAACTTAGTGAGGAAATGTTTCCTCCCTTCGTCATCAGGGTAGAGAAACAGGTGCTGTCAACACAATAAATCTGAATAGCAGTAGCAGTCTGGGATGTCACAGCTAGCTGCAGGAGAAGCTTCCAGGTCTCTTTTCCTAGCTAGATTCACTGTGTTGCTGGCCTTGAGAGAGCTTTCCTTTTGGGCTTCCTCACAGAGGAGGAAATAGAAAAATAGAATGCACTGTATCATCATAGCCACATCCCTACAGAATTCTCTCTTTTCACTTACTTTCCTAGCAGCCTAAAATCAGAGCTGGGGATTTATTTAGAGATAACCTGCTTGACTCATGGGAAGGGAGAAGGAGATTTTGATCTCCTTTGACAACAGTACTCTTTTCCTTTTTTGCTGTTTTTCTCTTGGCTTCTTAATAATCAGGCACTTGGACCAGAGAGTGGTATTGGTGTATTTTAGTTTGCACAGGCTTTGGTTCGAGTGCATTGTTTTAAACTAAAATCATCAGCCATGCAAGTGAATTTGCTGAGCCATGAGCTGCACCAGCCAAGGTATAGATGTGCAATTTGTTTTTCCAGATCTACAGTGAAAGTGGTAACATCAGATAAGAAGCAGAGCAAATAGCTAGAGGTAATAGCATTTAAAGCCATCTCAACTAGAAGTGCCTGTAAGTTTTTCTTTTAATTGGATGACTGTTTCTTCCCTATGTCACTAGGGAAAAGCTTTGAAGGGAATATGCAATTCTTCTAGTGTTGTCTTTGCTCTACAGAAGACACTTGTCCTCAGAGTCTTAAACTAGTCCTAGAAGTCTCTTATGACAACCTAAAGTTGCAGCTGTCAAAAGTAGTGGTCTCACTTTTTCCTCCCTCCAGTCCTCTCACACTGTGCTGGGGTGAGAATGACTCCTGGGTGGTAGCACAGATTTATGCCACTTTAAACTGTTCCTGGAATTAGAATAAGAAAAATGTGTTGTAAATCTAGCACCTCCTGTGCCCTGACCACCTACCTGTTCATAAAACCATGTGCATACCAGTCCTTATTTTATTATCAAAGTGCATTGGTAGGCAGCTGCTGTGAACAGGTGCAATCAAAATTTTTTCCCTTTCAGTTCAAGGCTAGCAAGTAACACTTATTTCAATACCTGGAAATAGAATTAGAAATACAGAAGTCAGGTTCTAACACTGTTACTAATATTTTGATTGACAGAGTAATTCACTCCCTATCACAAGTGCACTGTAATTGGAAGCACTAACTGCAGATTTTGTAAATGCAAGCTTTTAAGACAACTGAAAGCCAGTAAGGGCCCATTGTACATCTCTCTTCAGTTAAAACACTATATTTACTTAGAAATTAAAAAAAAATACTAAAACAATTCTGTAGTGTAAACTGTAGTATATGCTGTAACCAGAACTGGTGAGGCCACACCTGGAGTACTGTGTCCAGTTCTGGGCCCCTCAGTTCAGGAAGGATATTGAGGTGCTGGAACAGGTCCAGAGAAGAGCAACAAGGCTGGTGAAGGGACTCGAGCACAAGTCCTATGAGGAGAGGCTGAGGGAGCTGGGGTTGTTCAGCCTGGAGAAGAAGAGGCTCAGAGGAGACCTCATCACTCTCTACAACCACCTGAAGGGAGGTTGTAGCCAGGTGGGGGTTGGTCTCTTCTCCCAGACAGCTATCAGTAAGACAAGAGGGAATGGTCTTAAGCTCTGCCAGGGGAGGTTTAGGTCAGATATTAGGAAGAAATTCTTTACAGAGAGGGTAATCAGGCATTGGAATGGGCTGCCCAGGGAAGTGGTGGATTCTCCGTCCCTGGAGGTTTTTAAGATGAGACTGGATGTGGCACTTAGTGCCATGGTCTAGTAACCACAGCGGTAGTGGATCAAGGGTTGGACTTGATCTCAGAGGTCCCTTCCAACCCGACTGATTCTATGATTCTATGATACCTGCTACAGTAGAAATGAGAATCTGAAAGTAAAACTGACTATACATGATTTTCATTATTGTAAACTAAAGTCATCTTAATTGGGTAAAGGCCATGAGCAGTGACAAGCAAAAAGGGTATTGAATATATTAGCATATCATATCAGGGTTTTCCCAAGACTGCTGTAATTGTGTAATATGTTTCTTCCTGACTTTGCCTCTAACTGCAGCCATGGCTTAAAAGGGGAGGTAAGGAATCTTCCTGGTGATTTGAGGATGGCTGTGGGTACTTCTATAAGGGTAATGGCACATCTCTGTTCACCTTGTTAACTTACAAACTGTGAAAATTGTCATTCAAGAGTTTGAATTGGACAGGATAAAATGCCTTAATATAGGACAAAGACTAATATGTGCTTTGTATCTCAAAAGTAATTAACTGAAAACCATCCCTTACATGGTAGTTAATATTTTTTGGACCAAATAAAAATTTCTAGAGCAAGAGAATTCCTTTCAGGATGGTTTATATTTATACATATGGTATAGAAGAAGGAATCTGTGTTTAACCTATAGGACAGCTGGGTGTCCCCAGTCTTTTAGATTTTGTGGGCAGCACTTGTAGCTGTGTTTTACACACGTTCTTCGTTTCTACCCTAATAATGAGCCAGTCTTCAAGCTGGATGGTTTCTCTAATCCTTGGACCCACCTGATATACTCCTGACTTTGTCACATCTGCATGACTTTGTTCTTTGGGGAGCTCTGTCCTTGTTGTACAAAACAGGAAACAATCTCTTTGAAGTTTGTCTTCTTTTCCACACAACTGAGTTGTACCAGTTTCATTCCTTTGTACTTCTGCAGCTCTCTGAGACTTAATTTGTAGGACTTTATCTCTGAGGTATGCAACTGTAACATTTATTCTTAGCAGCACCATAGAGAAAATATGGTAACATAGTGGAACCCAATCTAGTGCTGTAAGCCTCACTGCTGTGTACCTGCCATAGCACCTGTGTCCTACAGGGAGGAAAAATGTTCTGTGAAGTTGCTGACAGTAGGCATATGTACACTGTGCTACTGCCTATTTCGCAGGCACAAGAGTTGTGGAAGGATAGTGGCCTTCGTGATCACTGGTAGCTGTGTTCTGTGTCCACATGCCACCAGCTGTGAGCTGAGGCTCAAGTAGAATTAGCTTGTCTTATTGTGGTCTAGGTGTGTCTCAGTGAGTAACATTGAGACATTAATTCTTCTGATTTCTAAACAAACTATTTTATGTTATTCCCTGGTACCTGCAGCTCCTTCATTTCCTAACTGCTTCAGTTTGCATTTACAAGGAAGAGGTGAGGATGGAATTTGATATGCCTATGCTGAATGGTCAGAATTAGCTGCATCTGCATAATTACTTCTATTCCTTTTTTTACAATGGCTGTGCTGCAAAATAAAGTAGCACTGTGAAGAGTGATTTGAAATTTGAAAAGAAAGAATTGAAAAAAAAAGACTCCTACCTGAAATCCATGGGCAGTCTTATTAAAGATCATGCTGTTTAGTCTTTCAGTAGACTTTAGAATTGATAGAAATATATGACTAGCTTTTACCCATTTTTTGTCCTATTTGAATTTGTTTGCCATAAAATTGTAAGAAGTTCTTTCTTTTGCACTGTGTTCCTTGCTATTAGAGGAATTGATGATGGACTAGGAACAAGACTTGAGAGCAGGCCTATGAAAATACTGCCACAGGCCAAAGTAAAAGTTAATGCTAAAGTCTTGTTCTTAGCAGCTTGTGCAGTTTCTCTGTTCTACCCAGAGTAAGGCTTAATCCTTTGAGTTCTGAAAAATTTTTACTGCTTTGAAAGTGCATTTGACATAAAAGACTCACAGAATCGCAAAATATGTCAAGTTGGAAGGGGCCCACAAAGGTCATCAAGTCCAACCCTTAGCTCTGCACAGGACCATCCCTAAGAGTCACATCATCATCCAAATGCTTCTTGAACTATGCCAGGCTTGGTGCTGTGACCACTTCCCTGGGGAGACTGTTTCAGCAAAGAACCTTTTTCTCATATCCAACCTAAACTTCCCCTGACACCACTTCAGGCCATTTCCTCAGGTCCTGTCACTGGTCACCAGAGAGAAGAGATCAGAGTCTGACCCTCCTCTTCCTCTTAGGAGGAAGTTGTAGACTGTATGAGGTCTCCCCTCAGTCTCCCCTTCTCCAATCTGAACAAACCAAGTGACCTCAGTCTCGACTGAAACATAAAACGTTTAGAGATACTTGTTTTCTAGGCAAATTCTTGCCATTCTGGTCAGAATCATCTCTTTGCAATACACTGGGAGATCGCTGTATCATAAGAGCATGATACATATTTACTTCATAAATATTTAGATGTTGCTATAATTGACATGGTGGGAGTGATCTTTCTTGGTTTTGCTTTTTATATGTGTGCAGTGTCTACTTCACATGTGTAGCCTTTCACATACTTGATTTAAGTATAATGAATAGCTTGCACAGCATATATATATGCAAATAATGTTTTCTAAAATTTAAGTTTTGCTTTTATCTTATAGGAAACATGAGTGGGACAAACATGGCACTTGTGCAGCCACACTTGAGGTCCTCAATTCTCAGAAAAAATACTTTGGTAAAGCCTTAGAACTCTACCAGCGTGTTGATCTCAACAGGTACATAAATGAACTCGGTGGTCTGGTTTTTATTTCAAACAGTTTCTAAAAGTTTCAAATGAAAGTCTAAATCTGATGGCAGAAGGAAAATCAGTGTAAATTATTTTTAGTATTGACATTCAGAAGAAGGGTTGTGTACTCTGAGAAGCATGTCTCTGGTCATGTCAGAGTCTGGTAAGCCAACACTGTCTTCCACAGCGTCATTGTAGACAGTGTGAGCCAGTAGATTTTTGAGAAGCTGTGTTGGCTATATCTCTCTACCAAAAGCTGAGGTACCTGTAAAATTCTAAATTAAGTGATGAAGCTGCCCACACTTCTGAGTCATACTGAGGCCCAAAGACTTGTTTTTAAGACAGTGCTCTGCTCAGAGAAAAGCTGCAAGCAAAATTGTGCAGAACATCCTGGGAAAAGGCTGAGAGGTGACAGCAAGAGAGGACATTCTGAAGGGCAATATTCAGCTGCTGCAGGCAGCCCTCTGCTGTCCTTTCCAACAACCCCAATATGACACTCTTGCTTTGTCCTAGGGACTGATTCCTCCTCATGGTTCCAAAGTACTGGCCATTCCAGATTCAAAATCTTGATAGGAATGTTGTGGCTTGTCCAAGCACTGTAGGTATGCATTCTGACTGCAGGTGAATGCCAGAAAGGGTCCTTTCCTGATCAGTGCTTGGTGTGGATAAGAGAATGTTTGACTTAAATTTTTTGGTCATGGCTTGTCTATCTGTATAAGTGGACAGTATCTGAGAGAGGAAATTGTTTTGTATCTAAAAACATACCTTAAAAAAAGCCCAACAAAACAACCCAACAAAATGGAAAAATCCTGTTTATGTTCTGTCGGTGTCTTGTCCAAGAAATCTCCTAACCAAAGTCTCATTTAGTTTGCATATGCACAAAGGAAATAAGTCTTTCTTCCCTCCTGCCTCCATTTTTGTAGGTGTGTTTTAAAAGCAGATTTCTCTAGACACGGTGCTTAAGAGCATGTCATATATAGTGTTAAAATTAGTAATGTCTGATAAGCCAATTGCCTAAGTAGCTGTGATGGTGTGACTAAAACATGTACAGATGGCACAGTGACCGTTTATTTGACTCTGCGTCAGCATGTGCAACACTGCAAAAGAATAGAGACTGAAGCATGTTGAAATTAATTGCTCAGAGCTTATTATCCATTGTAAAAATGAATATAATTAATGTTATCTTTACTGAAAAGAATGAAGACTGTCAGTGTTCTCACTGTATTTCATTTATACTTAAATGAGAAAATTTAATTAGTGATTTAAAAAATTGTTTCCTAAAAGCAAATTATTAAAAAGAGGACATCATGCAGGATTCTGTAAGAATTAACAGAACACTGTCTGTTTTATTGACTTCGTTATATCCAGTGTAAAATGACTATGTAAAGCAGCTTGTCCTTTCGTCTCTTGGGTAAAGTCTTCCCTGTGCTGAACCTGACCTTGGAAGAATTGAGCATTATCAGCACTTAAGAATTAAATTCTGCAAGATACTGACCATAGCCACTCCTTAGAGAAGAAGCTGGGACACAGAGACTCATCATGTTTTGGGTCCTGAGTCTTGTCAGCTTGGAAATGTGGACTCCTCTCAGGACTGAATCCAAAGGAAGGGGTATCCAGGCCAGAGGTTCTTGAGTGTTACCTCGTTTCTCTTATGTGAACAACTTTTCTTTTCAAAAACATATTTATTAGGAATCATTTCTGCCCTGACATTAATGTTGATCCAGATTCACACACCATATCCTTCTCCCAGCATGCTCTGTGCCTCCCACCCCAGCAAGCCCACCTGGTGTTCAATTATGAGGATGCCCAGAGCAGCCTCACAAGTCTGCCTCTGTCTGCTCCTGGTGGCAGGAACACAGAGTTGTTTCAAGGCAAGGGAAAGGAGGCAGTTAAACTGCGTGCCCTACCTGGCACTGAACAGAGCACTCTGCAAGTCCCTTTCCCCTAGTGATACCTGAAGGCTCAGCTATCCCAGCTCCTCAGATTCAGCTGGGTGAGAGGGTTCTTCCTGACCCTGCTGAGTGAGATGGGAAATGGCCTTTTAGAAAAGGGGAACCTTTCCTAGGCCTGGCAAAGAATGGAAGACAAGTTGCCCTTGCTCCCCATCACTGTAATGCCAAGTTCTCCTTAAGATTATCTGGTTTACCTAATGATTATGAAGGTATGTTTGTAGAAAACATGGAAAATGTTTTATCTTTGTTTCAGTTGTCTCTTGAAAGCTGGGATAAAGCCAAGCAGTTCATATTACAAGGTAAGAGACGATCTTTTACAAAACAAAATCATATGCATGCACTTTTTTCAGCAGGAGTCAATTAATTTCTATAGAACAAGTGATCTTTCTAAAATTGTATAATTTTTAAGGCTGTGCTTTTTCTAAAAGTTTGTGTGAGCTTAACAGGTGTGGGAGCTGTTGGAAGATGTGCTTGTGCCATTAATCTCTATAAGCTTTTTAATTTTTCAGATGACTGCCATAAAGGAAGCTCTTACAAGATTTTATGGTGTAATGCCCAAGATCCAATGCCTTCCTCCAGAAGAGGTAAAAACCCCAAACAAACAAACACTCCCCAAACTTTCCAAAATGGAAAAAAACCCAAAAATTTTTTTAAAGCATTTTTATTAAAAAGAAAAAGGCACAAAAATAGAGTAAAAAAAATCTTCAGTATGGTGAAACTTAGGTCTAGGTGTTCCTTGTGTATGCATCTCTCTGCAGTTTAGATTTTGCTTGATTCTTGGAGTGGAGTTTATAAAAACATTGCTTACACGCTGGCACCACTGAGTTCAATTTATGTTATTGTTACCACAGTCTTAATGCAGAAATATTGTTACTGCAGGAAGTGTCCATTCTTTACCTGCTACCTCTGCTGTTAGGATACTTACCCAGAAAGTGGGAGCACTGGGTTTTAAAGGTGTCTTTGTCTTAAAAGACTTAGATATCTCTTGTGTGAATGCTGAAACCACCATGCTAGAGGTATTGCTGTAGCTGAGCACTTTTCACTCCACCTGCTAAAGCTTAATAGCAAATTACTAAAGCCAACAAGAGTGAATTACTTGAAGCAACAAAGGAATATTAGTTGAATATCACCCACCTATTGATGTTAAAGAAATACAGAGCTAACACCAAGCCCAGTTTCTAGCTCTGTTCACTGTAGTTTTGCCACTGCTTTTAGTCCAGTTGGGATACTGCCCCAGTTATGTGAAAGTAATTTACAGCTTGGGTCTCCTGTGCTTAACAGCTGAAGGTAATGGGTAAGAGAAATTAAAAAGTACATGCAATTTATTTAAAGATAATCCTTTTCAGAGTTTCAGCCTTGTCCATGCCTGAAGTGCAAGATGGAGGTACTTTGATGTTTGAAACATATTGCACCCTTGCTGTTCTTAAGTTTCTTAAAAAAAAACACAAAAAAACCCCAAAACAAGCAAAACCACCCAACAACACTACCCTAAACTAACAACAAAAAAACCCTCACCATGGTTAGTTTTGTCTTGTACATATGTTTTGTCCTGCTTAGTTGTTTCAAAACCAGTCGTTTTCCACATAAACTTTGTTAGGCCTGAGCATTTAGGGGGATTTTCATGTAATCTTTTTGCCACATGAGAAGCTGCTGTGCCTGCCTACTTTATTCATGGACAATATTTTTCTTCCTAGCCTGTCCTTTAGTCCAAAAATGACATTTCTGCTCCTTTTGATAGCTTGGTTTTGTATTCTTTTCAGTAAAAGCTATTATAAAATTGAGTTTCTTTTCTTACTTTTGGAGAATTTTATTTGTTTCAATCCTTGTCCTGCTGTGTGCCCTTCAATATTCACAGAATTCAGCCAGAGCTCATCATTAAGGTGAATAGTTTCTCTGCAGTTCTCCCCATAAAGCTGATCTTATCCCTCATGTTTCTAGGGTGAAAAAGCACAGACAATTGGCCAGATTGAATTCTGCTTCACCAAAGAACTGCAACTAAGAAACTGCACAGGGCTGAAGGGTGGATCCAATGCAATGCAGGCTCCCTTGAAGCTTGGAACTGAGGAGCTGTCTGTCTGCAATGATACTCTCCCAACCTATTACCCTTCAGAGGTCCAAGATCACAAATGAAGCCATATGAGTTTGAAAACCTTTTTAAACAGCAACAAAAAATTGTAATTATTGTCATATTACAACCCCCTGTCCATATCACAGGCATACTGTGAAGATTTCTGCTGGAAAACACAGTTCTTTTGCCATTAAAGGAGAGTGGTCAACATGACGGGATTGGAATGTGATTTATAGCTTTGTCTGGCTTTTTTTGCCTGCTTATGGTTTGAATCAATGTTCAAAAGAGAACTGTGACTTAATTTCTCTTGCAGTTAAGTCTGCCTCTTTAGCCATTTTTGGGTTTTACCAATGAGTCAGGGAAATTATGTAATTCTTTGTTTTGAAAGGATGATTGTCTCTCTGAGATGAGATGACAATTGCTTGAGAAGAAAGTACTGTAAACAAAAAGAACTTTGAGACCTGTCTGGAGGTCCATTCCCAGACATAATACCTACTGCCTTGCATGAATTTGCTCTCCAGAAGTGCAGAACAGAGACATTGTCCTCTGAGGTGTTAAACCTTTCCTCGCTCAGGGATCACAGCTGACCAAAGACAACTTTTGTATAACTTCTTAGTGAAGTGATGTTCTCCAGGTTTGGGCTTTTCTGCATAAACAACCCCAGGAAGACTGTATTTGTAGCCTTACCTATTCTTTGATTATTTTTGCAAAGTAGCTTCATACAGTCTTGAGGAACAACCGATCTTAGAACTTAATTTTAGGCCCTAGAAATGTGTTGTTATTAATTTTTTGTTGTATTTGAACATTTAGCATTATACCCAAGTGTGAGTGTCTGCACTTCTATATAAAACTGAGATTGTCGTGTAATCACTTTGTTCCAAGAAACAGCTTTTTATAGTTGAAACAATAAATGCTGCAGGATTTTCAGTAAAAAGTGCAAATATTGGCAATAATGCATCTGTACTCCATAATAATCAGTAACATGTCACAAAGTTGGATGTTTCCAAAGGGGACCGAACTTCGATGACGTCCTCTACACAGTGCTGTGTTGTTCTGTGTGTCTCAAATTGTCTTTCAAAAACAGACACTTATGGCTCAAGGAACTATCTGTTAGAAGAATATTACTGTGAAAACATGAAATGCAGTCTTAGAAACAAATTTGCTATTTTGGGGGGGTTTAGAAACTATTCACGTTTACTTTCATTTTTTACTGTCACTGATTCTCTACCACATTTCATTTAACTCTATTACCTTCCCATTACAGAATGCTGTCAGTTTTTTAGTCCTTTGTACTTGCAGTATAAAATATATTTTCTTTTGTAATGCCAAATAATGCCTAGGGAGATAAAATATACAGTATGAGTTCTCTGCAGTTGAAGTGTAGTGCATTAATTTAAATTGAGGAAAGCCAGTAACTTCAAGGACAGACTTTAAAAGGAAGTGACACAGACACTAACAGCCTGCACAGTGAGAGGCTCGAAGGTAAAGCTGACTCTTGCCAAAGGGAGTCAGCAGATTCACACAAGAGTCACAAATGACCAACCTCTACAGCAGAGTAGATAGTATGGCTTCCATGCATTTTTTTTTAGCCTTATTTTCAAATGCAAGAAAGGTGAGGAAACTGATAAGTTTTAAAACTTTGAGGAGAAAAGAACATAATCCAAAATGAGGGAGGGAGACAGCATGCTAAACAACAGCCTGAAACTGAGTAAGTGACTGATGAAAAGTAAGGGTTGGCTAAACATAACCTCACAGACTCTGAAGTTCTGTTTAAAGGGACATACCTGAAGTACTGCATTTGCCTTAAAAAAACCACACCCACATACTTTTTATTTTGCCAACATTATTACACATTAAATATTTAAATTTGCTATGGTTAATTTATTAGTAGTAGCAGTAAAACACTATATATGACTATCATTGCTTGGTTTTTGACAATCTCAGCAGCCTAACTTCTAGGAAGATATAAATGTCTTTTAGAAGCTACTGATTGATTTTTATACAGGGATGTGCCAAGACACTATAATGTTTCATGTGATGTATTTAAGGGATGCTTCAAGGGCTATGTCTGTATGTGGGCAACCAGGAGAGCAGATGAATGAATACTAATACCACTTCAGACCAAAGATCATGTCCAGCCCTTTATGTTCTCTCTAGCAATGGCTCACAGCCAGTTACAGGCCTTGTAAATTGCTTCCCATCAAAATGTATATAGTTTCAAAGTTGGATTAACACAGTTTAAATAGAAGAAGTAAACAAAGTTATATTGGGAGCCTTAAAAATCACTTCAGTTCTGAAAAGTGTCATTCACTTCCTTAAGTAATATTGTCAGACTTGAAAATTCAGCACAGCCTGGGGGTGATGGGGCCTATATTCTTTTCTGCATCATTAAATAAATTGACTAAATTCCAGGAGAAAGGTTGTTCGTGCAGTCTTGGTGGTTTAAAACACTAGTCAACTCCACAATAGGACTTAGAGGATTCCAAGGACAACCCCTCTTCCTGGAGCATGGGCAGGTGCTTTGTTCTGTCTCTCTCTCCTCATGGCGTCACTGAGCCTTTCTCAGCTGCATAGGAGCCCATCTTCAGCCCAGTTAGGGTGGGGAGGAAATGACTGGAAAATTCAGCTTCTACTGAGTTTCATTAGGTAGCTACCCACATGCATGTATATTGTGCTTAAGGGCACATCTGTCTCTCCCTACCAGCAACCACCTCATCTGCCACTGCCAACTGCAACAGGAGATGGGAGAAGCATGGGGGACTTCTCCCCATCACTCCTGTTCTTAGTGAGGGCAGCAGCTACTTGCTGTTGCCCTGCTGATAGGCAAAGCTACCTCTGCAGGCCAGAATAGAGGTGGGACAGGCCTCCGGCTGTGTCCATGTTCTGCACCCTCAGTGGCTGGAGAGTGCTGGGCTATGCTGCTGGCCCCAGCTGCTGCCCATCAGAAGGAAGAAAGTGGTGGCAGGATTGCAGTGCCCACTCAGCACGTCAATACACTGCAAATCAAGTTCCACAAATGGGGACAGGCTAGGTGTCTACAGCAGCATGTGCTTTACTTTTATAGTGGGGAAGGAACGGGTTCTTGAATTTGGGCACCTCTGTTCTGGTGTGGTGGTGCTTCAGTCAGCCGTGTTCTGGCTCTGGCTCTAAGCACCATTAAGCCAAGGCTGTAGAAGGTTAATGATGCTGCTAACAGTGTTATTGATGCCTGATGATGGTACTGATGATGCAAAGGAAAATTGTCAGGACTTTGCAAGTCACTTTCCTAGGAATGGAGCAATCAATGATGAGGAACGTTGTACTTATTCTAAATTCAGATTGTCTTGCTGCTAAGGCAGCTTCCTTCACAAGGGTCACTGCACGCCTCCCATCCTTGTAAGTATTCCCTGCTCCACAAAGTTGCTATAGATCACCCAGAGTTGATACAAATAATTTGTTTTAGGAGGGATTTAAATTTCTTGTGCTTTGAAGAATAAGAGCTTTAGTATACAGGCTAAGTGAGAGCTGATGTGGGAGATGGGCAGAGTATTTTGTGTTTGTGTGCTGTGATTTTCAGTATTCCTTACCCCAAAGTACATTGGACCATCACAGACTGGACAAGGATTAGATAGACCTCAAGGGCAGCCAAGCCCAACCATGCTCACAGATTGGTGGTACAAAACCTATCAATATACTCAGCATGAAAATCACAGCGCTGACATTCATACACAATACTTAGTCTGAAAGACTGATATTTCAGTAATCTATAAAAGAGTAGCAAAAATTACCACATTTGATAAGAATTTTAAGGTGGTGTCTTAAAATTCTTAAGCAAGCTGAAGCATACCAGGGTGCTAGCTATAAGAAATATTTTTCTGAGTACAGCCTCATCTACCAGAGAAGAGGCTGTTCACTTAAGTTTTTTCTATAACTCACACAGTTGTTTGCATTAGAGATCCATGTCTGCAGGTAAATCAGAGGAGACGAGCCAAAACAAAATTAGCAAGAGCTAAGAGCACAGCTGTTACCTAGTAATAATTACAATCTCTATAAACAAGCATGATGCATCCCAGCAGTTACCCGACATTAGATCACTTACTTCTGCTTAGTATTGTTGAGTAAGGCTTCCTGCTGTCAACCTTGAAGAGGCTTCTGTCTTTCCAAAGTACTCAGCTGAGGGTGGAGAAGCTGTGCATACTTGTAGCAGAGATTGGAAGAGCTGTCATGTCACCTGACTGCTGTCATTTTAGCCCATCAGCCTTCCACAGATCCAACTCCCTTACCGAGATTTCACAGGTTATGATCATGTCCACTATCATATATGAACTTGCACTATCAGTTTCCAGTCCCGGCTGTTGTGGGTTGTGTTGAAAAGAACATTGTGAAGGGGCTGTCCTACCTCATAAACCATGATTTGCAGATATTTGCCAAATGCCTGGGGTATGCATTTGTCAAGGATTTATTAGCTAGGAGACTGGCTGACTGATGCGTGAAGTGGGAACCACTTTGTTGTCTTCCAGGCTCTCAGGTGTTATAGGCTCAGAATACTGTTATCCTCCTGAGGCAGTTGTTTTAAACATAAGTCAGCTGGCCCTGACTTATTTTTTATCCTTCAGCCCCTGGATATCTTCAGAGATTTCAGTCTTGCAGTTTCTGTGGGATTCAGTGAGCAGCTTGTCATTTCTGAAGCCTACTGCATGATAATCACTGTAACAAAATAGCTCTGGGATGCAAACTATCCTCTCATCTATAGCACCTCATGCTGTTTTCTGTTTGATTCCCTTCATTATCCTCAGTGACTTGAGGGATGAATGGACCAGCTCTTTGATTTCACGGGGTAACCAAACTATTTAGGCATAGATATTGTACCCCTCTATGATTTTGAGGGATTCTGACTGCAATGATCACTGGAGGTCTGGAGGAAGGTAGGCATATTGAGAGACAGCTTTTAATCTTTTATGCCTTCGGCACCTTTTTTTTTGGCCTATCTGGCTGATTAACAGGCTTGCTGTCACACTCACACCTGACCAAGAACAATGTCTCAAAACTTATTAAATCAGTCATTAAATGAGTCTGGGGCCTCCACAATTACTTAAACAGAAATATGGCATGGATAGGCTGGTCTGTCTGGCAGATGGGAGAACAGGGAAATCGTGGTATGTTTTCTTAGCTCTGCAACTATCCTTCTGCAAGTGAAATTCAACTTGAAATCTGATGACAATTTTAAGTCCCACACAAATTAAGACTTCC